AGGACAAAGAAGAAGATCTAGATGGCCGTTAAATAATACTATTTTAAAGGAAAAAGACTTCACACAGTGGATGGAGAAAGAACTGGCTTTTTTCTTTAGAGAAAACAAAAAAGAAGATACATCAATCCAGAATGTATGGGATACAATGAAGGCATATGCCAGAGGCTTGATAATAGACTATACAAGGAAAAGAAATACCATGAAAAGATTAGCCTCTAAGGCATTAAAGGATGAGTATAAAGGACTTGAAAAAGAGCTACAGAAAATGCCACAGAAAAAGGACATTAAGTAAAAAATGGATATAACCAAACATAAAATGGGTCTAATAGAAAAAGAATTAGCACAGAAAATTAGAGGTGCTAAACAGAACTACTTTGAAGATGCAAATAAACTAGGTAGATGGTTAGCATATAAATTGAGAAAGGAGAAAGAATCAAGGAAAATATTGCAATTAATAGATGACCAAGGCCAAGTTTGCTATGGTAGTAAAGAGAAGAAAATCATTTGAGACTATTATGGGAAACTATACACACAAGAGAATATTGATGAGGAAAGAGTTAAACAGTATTTACAGAATGCTAATTTACCCCAGATACCTAAAGAGATTGAAACAATGTTAGAAAGCAATATAACGATGATGGAGTTAACTGAAGCACTCAAGAAACAAAATAATGGAAAGGCACCAGGCCCAGATGGACTTCCGGCAGAATTTTATAAAACATTACAAGAATCATTGAATCTTCCACTGCTAGAAGTTATGAATGAAGTTATGTTAAAGAAGAGGATACCTAAATCATGGTCAGAAGCTTATATCACACTTGTTCCAAAAGAGGAGACTGATCCATTACAAATCAAGAACTATAGACCTATTTCCCTACGAAACGCAGATTATAAAATTTTTGCTTCAATATTGGCAGAAAGACTTAAAAAATATTTAAATAATTTTATCCATCCTGATCAAAATGGATTTCTGCCAAAGACACAAATTAAAGACAATATGAGAGTAATCTTGGACACTTTGGAATACTACGAGGCACATCCTGAAAAACAAATGGCTGATATTTCTAGATGCACAGAAGGCATTTGATAATGTGAATTGGCGATTCATGTTATTACTGCTGGAACAGATGGGCTTTGCTAGAAAATTTATTCAAGCAATAGAAGCTATATATCATGAGCAAACGGCAAAGGTAATGATAGAGGGAGAACTGACAGACTCTATCGATATAAGAAAAGGAACAAGACAAGGGTGCCCACTATCACCTCTGTTGTTTGTGTTAACTTTGGAAGTGCTAAATAGAAATATTAGAGATGAAAGGAATATAAAAGAGATGAAAATTAAAAAGGAAGAATTTAAGTTGTAAGCATTTGCAGGTTTTCATCTTAGAAGACCCACTAGAAACAGCATCAAAATTGATCGAAAAGATAGAGGTATATGGGAAGGTGGCTGGTTTGAAAATAAATAAAGACAAAACAAAGATTTTGACAAAGAATATGTTATCAAGACAAAAGGAAGAACTGGCAGATGTATTGAAAATCCAGGTCACAAATAAGATCAAGTACTTGGGGATATACTTGACAGCAAGATGCAGTACACTAAAAGAGAATAATTATATCAAACTTAAACAGCAGATAGCGCTAGATTTGGCGAAATGGGAAAATTTACAACTGTCATTAATAGGGAGAATATCAACAATCAAGATGAATATATTACCCAGAATTTTATATTTGTTTCAAACAATTCCAATTAGGCTTGGAAAAGACTACTTTGAAGATTTAAATAAAATTGTGTTGAAATATATATGGCAAGGTAAGAAAGCGAGAATAAAGTTAAAACTTTTGCAAGATGCTAGAATAAGAGGAGGATTTGGTTTGCCTAATTGGGAGTTGTACTACCAAGCTACAAATTTGATGTGGGTTAAGGAATGGATAACATTAAGAAATACTAGATTGTTGACATTAGAAGGACATGATCTGTTGTTGGGCTGGCATGCTTTTCTATGGTATAAAGGAACTAAAACACAGGGGTATTTTAGAAGACATTATATACGGGTGTCTGTGGTTAAACTGGGAGAAGATTAAAAGACAATGTTATTTGAAAATTCCAGTCTGGCTATCGACTATTGAAGCATTTTCTTATCCTATAATATATAAAAAAGAACAAACAGTTAGATATGGTGAAACATTGAATGAAAAGGGTGAACTTATATCTATACAAAAACTAGAGGAACGAGGTATAATGATGAATTGGTTTTCATATGTGCAAATACATTCAAGGTATGATAAAGATTCTAAAACAGAAGGTTTCTATGATAAACTGACTTAGATAAGATTTTGACAGGTACTGATGAAAAGGTGAATAAAAAATTGTGTGGATATTTATTAGAAATTAAACTAGAAGAACAAGTCAAAGAAACAATGATTGCTTGGGGGAAGAATTTTGGATATGGGATTGATCTAGAGAAATGGCAAAAATTGTGGTCTCAAAATTATAAAATGATAATGTCAACAGCATATAAAGAAAATTTGTATAAGATGTTTTACAGGTGGCATTTCCCCCGACAAGAATAGCAAGAATGTTCAAGAACAAAGGAAAAATGTTGGAAATGTCATCAGATACCTGGCTCATATTACCATATGTGGTGGACTTGTGCGGCCGCTAAAAAATACTGGACTAAAATCCACACGTGGTTGGAAAAAATGACAAAAAAAACATATAGATTTGAAACCAGAGATATTTTTATTGGGATTTTTACCTGAAATATATAGTAAAGACTTGAAATACCTGATTGTAAATGTATTAACAACGGCTAGGATTGTATTTGCTAAAAACTGGAAAAATGAGAAAACACCATCACAGGAGGAAATCATTAAGAAAATACTGGAATGTGCTTGAAATGAGTAGATTGACATTTGAAATTAGAGAACAAGATGATAAACAATTTTAAAAAATTTGGGATCTATTCTATCAATGGCTAGACAATAAAATATAGTAAGGAAATATGTAGACTTTTAGAAAATAATAAATATATAAAGATGTATTCTTTTCTTATTATATCTACAAAATGATTCTAGGATAGATTTGGGATGATAATATGAACTGTCATAAAACAAATTAAGTAAAATATGATTATTTCATAAAACATGAATGAATAAAAGTATAGTCAAATGATTAATAATGATATTAATGTATTTAATATTTGATTGAAAATACGAGATTATATACAATGTAATTGTAATTGAAGACTACGAAATGGAAGCACAAAACAATTTGTAAACCAACCGGCACACTGTATGTATATACATGGAAGATGACTTGATGTTTTTATGGTTTGTTTATGTTTGTTTTAAAAACCAATAAAAAATTTTTTTTAAAAAAGAAACTCTTAAAATAAATGGTACTGGAGTCAGAAAATACTACTTTAAACCAGAACAAATATATTTCTGCTGGGCTTTAGATGAGATAAAGGGAACCTGACTGGATGCAGCAAGAAAAAAATGTTGTTGGCCTTGGTTAGATGCAGTAAAAAAAGCTGTTGCAGCCAGAACAGACACTTAAAACATCTTAGAAAATAAAGGATTAATTCCTTAATATCAAGAGTCTTGAAACACTCTTATCAGCTGGAGATTTTAGATGCATTAAATGTTATATATAGTCAGCAGGGGAAAAAACATTGTGGGAACATATCACAGAAAATTGACCTTCAACACCCCAAAGGATTCTCTGTTGTTATTCTCTTCTTCCCACCACGTCCTCCTTCCCTACGAACCAGACACAAAGCAATAACTGTATAAACTTGCTACAAATCACTCCCTCCCACCGCCAGCACGTTCTTGCAAACTAGGGGGAGGGAGGGAAAGAGAGAAGGGGGATATCCCAGCCTAAATGCCTGGAGAAAAAACACCAGACCCCGAATTCCAGATACAGATGGAGGAGGAGGAGAGGAGCGACGCGAAGGCAATACAGATTTATCACAATAGTGTGCAGGAGAGGCCGAAGTTCTCGTTTAAAGGGGCGACAAATTAGCCGGCGTTCAATTCTCGAAAGCAGATTTCTAGGGGGGCGAGAGGTAGAAAGCTCTTGACGAAGACCCCCTTCCTCCCCCCAAAAAAAATTCTGTCTGATCAAGAGGGAAGTGACAAAATAAGCAATGGGCCTCAAGAAACGACCCAAAACTATGTTCGACGTGCAAGCTCGTGCGTGCGCAAAAGCCTTGGCATCCAACTTGGCACCCAGGGACACGAGAAGCGGCATACGTGGATCGCCGAGGTACTCCGGATGGCGTTTCGTAGATGAATCGCCCCCTTTGAAAGCTTTAGAAAGGGAGAAATCTCGAAGTTAACGTCCCGAAACGGGAGCCTGTTCAGAAGGGTTTAAAAAAAGGCTGGCAAGACCGAAGTGGACAATGAAGCAGCCCTGCCGCGAGGGAGACCAAAAGAGCGGCGAAGGAAAGACCCTCTGGGAGGGAGGACCTCCCCAGTTTCCCAAAGCAACCTCCGCAGGGGCTCCCCCTCACCCACAATCTCCGTCGCCCGTTGGGGCTGGGGGGTGGGGTGCGGGGCAGAGAAAAGCGGGGAAAGGTCTCGCTCTATTCGCCGACCCACCATGCACCAGCCGCTTCATCTCGCCGTAGCGCGCCCACAGAAAGCTCTTGTTGTCCGACCCCGGAGCTGGAGCGCTGGAGAAAGCTCGGGCGGCCGGGTCTTCATCAGCCGGGACCCGCTGTGCGCGCGGCTTTCTGCTGCCATAGGGTGGGCTGGGTTGCGGGGCTTGCGCTGCTGCGGCGGGTACTTCGGCCCCGAAGCGAGTGCAGTAGGAAAGGGAGGGGGCCGCCAGGCGCACGAACTGTCCGGCACGCACGGCGGCCCCAGCCATGCTGCAAGAAGCGTCTGGGAAGCCCGCCTTCCGCGGGAGAAGAAAAAGGCAGCCAAGAGGCTGGGTAGGGGGGGTTCGCTCCGCCCCGCGAGAGGGAAGGGCCTAGCTCCAGGTCCCCGGCCCGGATGGGCTGACCCACCTCGCACCTCAGCTTGTAGCCTCAGCTTGGTCCTCGTTGCTTGGAATTCAGTCTTCCCTCTCTCTTAACCCCAGCTTGGCTATTGGAAAACGATTAGCAGAGATTCAGTGGAGGCGTTTTCTCCTGGAAAAGGGTATCTTGTATGGGATCGCGATCTAAGGCGTCGGGTCTTAAACACACTAAAGAAAAACAGCGAAAGGTGTGAGGATGGTGGTTGTATAGACTGTGGGGTTTCCCTTTCCTTTGGTTGATCAGATTTGCAAATCTGGAGGGTTCGCTGAAAGAGGACCCCGTAGCAGTATCCGAATAGTAAACAAGTACTCAGCCGTATTTTAGCTCAGGAACCCAGCCAACCTGTGTGACCAGTTCATAGCTCACCGATAACATTGGATTAACTAAATTATGGTTAATATAATGCAGCCAAGAGATCCTTCCTGCGACTTTTGTTCAGTTTTCCTCTTGCATACTGCTGAACTGTTGACAGATGCCCCCAAAATAGCTGGCAAAATGACCCAACAGTTGCTTTCAGTCCTTGTCAGAATTATCCTTAACTAGGGTTGGTCTTATTCTTTCAAATTAGAGGCTGAGATAATTGTTTTTCTGTATTATGAAAGCTAAGACATGGTTTGTTGAGTAAATTATAATGGCTGGACTCACACAGCACACTAAGTTACAAACCAGATTATGGTTAACCTAGTTTGCTTTATCAGGATTTTATGTCATAAAACTATTTTATTTACCTAAAAGATTATCCTCCCCTGACAAAAGATCACAAAAGCAATGAAATCAAATTGTACCCTTCATATTGATAGAAGCACATTCTAAATTTTCTTGGGCCTCATCTAAAACCCTTTATATTGCTCTTTGAAATCTTGGGGAAAGGATTTATGAAGGCCTAAATATGTACTATTTCCTCAGTGTCACTTCAATGAAAATATCTGAGAGAAATATGAGGTGCAATATTGGAGATAGAACTGAAAAGATGACACTCAGCCAGACCTCAGCTGACATCAATAATTTTTACCTTATCCCTTCCTTGAACTGTACTCAATCCATCTGAACATTACTGTATGCAGATTTTGTAAAGTTACGCCAACATTTTACTTATGACCCTCTAAACCTGTGATGGCGAACCTATGGCACGCTTGCCACAAGTGGCAAGCAGAGCCATTTGTGCTAGCACGCAAGCTGCAGGCAAACTTATCTCAGTGCGCATGCACGTGCCTCACAATTGATTTTTTTCGGCTGATTTGAGGCCTTTTTCAGCCTCCCAGAGGCTTGGAAAAAACTTCTGCAAGGCTTTTCAGGACAATAGGCCCATTTCGTCACTTCCTGTAATACCCTATGTGACGAAATGGGCCTATAATTCATCCTGAAAAGCCTTGCAGAGGCTTTTTCCAAGCCTCTGGGAGGCCACAAAAGGCCTCAAATCAGCCAAAAAATCAGCTATGAGGCACAGTGCAGGTAAGGGGGAGGGGGGATTGCGCACGCATGTGCAGGGAGCATGGGAAGGGGGCACGCATTGCATTCTGGGTGCTGGCATGAGAGTGTGTGCGTGCTGGTGCACGCGCAATTTTTGGCACAGGAGCCCAAAAAGGTTTGCCATCACTGCTCTAAACCGTCTTTCTCAGAATCAATGTTGGATGGGAGTATTTCAGTTTGATTTCTACTGAGGCAGAAACCTAATTTTTAGGTGACATGAAAGGGCAGTACTTTTTACTCCCAATCCTTTTACTCCTATTAAGTGATGACTGTGGAATCTCCCATTTTCAGTTATCATAGTTAATGCGTATATTCTGCACCTTGACTTTGGAAGGGGGCACCACCTAAGCCAGAAAGTGTGTTCACTCAGTTGAAGACACTTTATGTGAAATAAACATTAAAGGTAGGCAAGTGCTGCTTTTGTATCCTTCTGCACACCCATGCACCTTTTTTGGAATCAAATTGGAAGCATCATACAGCTCCATATACAGTCCTTCATTTGTGTCACATTGCCTACTTATCTTCTCTGGATTGCTTTTGCCAGTGCAAAAGATATGGCATTGCCACTGTTAATGACAGAGATTAGCTTCTTGCCACCAGCACATCTTCAACAGCCAGCATTGGCAAGAACATATATACCTACTTGTTAAGCTACGGTATTATCAGTTTCCCATTATGGAGGAAGAGAATAGACCACCTGATTGTTTACATACCTCCCTTATTTGTGTACGGATAGCATAGCTCAGTAAAAGCTTAGGAATAAATCATTTTAGAAGATATACATGATGGTTCATACATTTTTAACCTAAATGGTCCCAACTTCATATCAATGCTATTTTTAAGGCGGAAATGATTTGTCACTAAAGGATGATCTCTTAGCTCCCCTAACTTTGTGCATAGGTCTTACTAAAACTAGCTATGACTTTATGGATAGTGTTAAAACTCTCCACAGCTGGTAGTCAATGACTACTTTACTAAACCAGATGTTCTTAAACTTTGTGGTACCATGACTTCCCAGAATAAAAATACAGTAAATAGTCCTGTATGAATGAGGAGGAAGAAGAAAAAACATAACTAATGCAGGTAAAGTTTTTTTGGGGGGGGGGGGGGGGGGGGGGGTTGCACTGGCTAATTCTTTATACAAACCATTAGTTCTTCACATGCAAAGCTGGAGTTCTGTCAGAATGTGGTCTGGTTTTACCTGGACAAGCCAATTGTGTTTGTCCTGACTAGTGCTACATTTTCTTCCTCGTGTGTTTTCTTCCCTTCCCTACCAGCAGAGCAGCAGCTGAGCACTCTGGACTACCTGGAATTCACAGCACTCCCTTTCTGGGCATCAATGTAGAATACAGTCCAAAATACCCTTGCTCAGCTCCTTTCTATATCTGTCATGATCACCATCTAAATGTAATTGAATATTGTTAGCTGTTTTAATGTCTTTTTAGTTTTGTGTGATGCCCAGAGTCTACTGGCTTTGGACATCCAATAAATTTAAATAAATAAAATGTGGTGCCCTTAATACTAGGCAGGGTAGGCTCAAGAGCTTAGATGTCCAGAGCCTGCCCCACCGTGGCAACGAAACAATTAGCCAGATAACGAATGGACCAACTAGCTTAGTTAGGCAGAGGAGTATAGTCTGATAGGCTCCAGCTTTTCCTGTGCATGATGAAAAAACTTGGCAACCCCTCCCAGATTTGCTCACAGATCCCCAGGATATGAACCAGTTTGAAAATTCCTGCATTAAACAGCAAGTTGCGATCTGACCTTTTTTTTATTTTTTCTGCTTTCAGAGAATCCAGCCAAGAGAAATTTGCCCCTCTCGAAGGAAGGCTGAGCAAAAAACTGGGGACACTAAGGAGGAGCCTCGAGGAGGAGTGTTCTCAGAATTCAGCTTAGCCTATCGGATGAGACACAGAAGCACCTCCTATGCCTGGACACTCTGAACAGCTCTTCTTTACAACAGCTGAAACATAGATAATGCAAACTAATTTTTAAATCTCAGTTTTAAAAATACATATTTTTATTATTGCATATTGAGGGATGAAGGAATACTATTCTACAGTGACCTTCTATTGAGAAACACAAAAGAAGTTTTATATATTAACATTCAATATTTTTTAATCCAAGGGCATGGTAATTTTTTTTCTTATTTCTTAGCCCCCTTTTATCTAATTCCCACAGATATCATTCAACTAAGAGGGGAAGGAAAATTTCATACAATATTACTTAACAATAAATCCAATGTTTGGTATCAAGTATATAGTCAAGAAGGGATCAATCAAAACCCCATCTTTAAATAAGTACGGTATATTATACTACCCAACTGATCAACTTGCACCAGAAGGGGGCACCAGCCAACCATGCACAATACTGTTCTGTCTGGCAATATTATAATTAAAGCCTCAAATATCTTTCTCTGCCTTTCTCCCAGTGCCTGGCACAATATCTTTAAAATAGCTTTCAAAAACAATTGCATCTAGGCCAAAGGGGGAAGGGGTAATTATATGCATCTTCTTCCTAGCACAGAGAAAACTGCCCAGGAAGCTAGAGATTGACCATTCTATATTACTTTCCCAACTGAACAATATTACTGAGACATTTTCTGACATTCAGAGATTGCAAAAATAAATAACTATTTCTGCTTCATTGTGATCAGAAAAAATAAGAAAAAATATTTCAGCAAATAGAGACCCCCATTGATTTCAGTAACACGCTTCCCTTTTAAATACATGATGTCAGTAAAAAATGGGAGGGAGAGAAAACACATTCTAAAACTATCATAGATGGGTAGGTATTTTTGGAACAATGGAAATATATCAAGAATAGAATTAACAAATGATGAAAAGGTACAATAATGTCAAAGATCAAGTGATAGGACTCTGCAAAAGGCTTCAGACTATCTTGGGACAGAATTACAGGGCAACTGTAAAGAAGGATAATCATTTTTGGCATGTTAAATCATATGTCTATTTAGAATTACAAAGCATTTTGATGTTCTTTATGTTATGCAAAGTTTTAAAGTACAGATTTATTTCCTGGATTGTAGTCAAAAAGAGATTAGAAACCAGGAATATCATTTATTTAAGGGAAACCAGGGGTTTGCCTAGCTCCAAGCTGCAAAATTGCTTCCAGGTATCTCTTCATCTGACAACACATCTCATTGTTACATGTGCATTGATCCATTATTTGCACACCTGTTTCAAACTAACTGTAAAACCTGTGGCAAACAGATAAGCAGAATAAATGGTGGGTCAATGAGGGGGAAAAATGGAAGTATGGGGTAGTGAAAAAGCAATCCGTGCACAATTTCTTTCAGCCAATTAGCTCTTAAGTGTGTAGACTTATTCAAGGTTTTAACATCACTGTTATTTGAACAAAGCTTTTTAAAAGGCATTACAGGTGCTTTACAAAACAGTTCCAGAGAAATGTTTAGAGATAAAGTATATCTTTGGGAATTCTTAAGGCAGTAAGGAAAAGGAGGGGTTGGGGGAATAAAGATGCATGTTCGGGCTGGAGGCTCTCTCCTTAATCCAGTTTCCTTCTTGTGTGGTTGCAGGTACTGAGTGTTTTTGGTTACTCAAGAGAATTGGGAGTCGTGTAGTCACAGACCATCTGAATAACCGAGAAATCCTGTACTGAATCCCATTAATTTCACCTCTGAAAGGAAAAGGAAAAGAATTGGGGAGAAGAAAAAAAGATCAGAAAGATCCATAAAATCTCATCAATTTTCTACAACATTTTTATGCTGATCATGGCATGGATTTAGTTACCATATTGCTTGACATTTATTTAACATTTAAATTGGCCAAGATTAGAACCCCATATTAAGGAGGTTAGATATGGAGGTTTGCTTAAGGCCATGTGACCAATTCTTAAACATGCAGTTAAGGTTTTATCTGTGCATGCAGTTTTAGTTTTAAGAAACATTTTTATCTGTAACATTCCAGTCCTCCAACCTGTGATAGCAATACAAATTTGGCTCTCGTGGGCATTGTCATGAACTCCATGACATAAGAACTTCTCAGCTAATCAATATCCTAATGATAACAAAAAAATATGCTGATAGTGGAAGTGTTATATTGTGAAATTACAGGTACATCTTAATTAGACTGCATGTTCATCCTCTAAGAGGCCCACTGATAAAAAGAAACCAAGTGCCTTGTGAACTTCATTCAGTAATGAAGACTTGATCTGAACATATGATAGCAGCACATGGAATCCCTAAATCTCTACTCCCGATTTAGCAGTTTTACTGAGCTTTGCTTATGGTTACAGTGACCATACACCCTTTATTATAAAGGACAATCCTATCTTTCAGAATACTATCCTTTAAATTCATTTTTCAAAAATTCACTTTTGTCCTTTATTTGGGTCATTTAACTTACCACTTAATGCATACTCTTTCACATTCATGTGAAAAAAATACGGAAACTGAACTGTCTTTTAAAAATAAATTTATATATACGGTTTGATTTTAGATATTTAAATCCTATTAGTGGGTTGTTTTGAATTTTATAAAGATTAGATATGAAACATTTATATAGTTATAAAATTTTAATTTGCATATTTTTATTATCTTAATTACCCTTCTATTTATTTTTTATGATCTGTAAGCCATTCAGAGTCGGGGGACATTGGTGGCATAAAAATGTAATAAATTTAATAAATAATGAACAATACTTTTTAAATTAATTATAAGAACCTTCTTGTGGGGAAATGTTGTAAATTAGAGAAAAAAAAGAGGGATTTTGAAGGTTGGACTCTAGAGGGATGCAGAAAGAACTAAACATAATTAAAGAATAAGGGGCACATTAATATAAAATGGGACAAAATATAACTGGGAAAGATTTCAAATATGTGTGGGAACAATGCATACAGATGTTTCTTTCAAGATTGTCTGCTACTTTAAAAATGGAACTTAAAGAGGCTATAGGAGAGGAATAAATCTCACTGGACAAAACTGATATCGAAGCTGCTCAAATGTGGACATAAAAATAACAGTTTCCAGAATGACATGGAACAAAATGTTATACTAGATTTACAAAACAGCAAGTATCTTAATAATTAAAAGGGATATACAAAGTTAAAACATACATGCAATTGTTTTTGATAACTCTTAATGGACTTTTGCTGACCAGGATCAAATTATTAGGCTTTAATAATTTGTTTATTGATAAGAGATAAGATATGGGAAGAAAAGATCCTTTGTTGTAACAGAATAAGTTACTGGCTTGTACTTGTACTTCTTTACATCTTTTCTTTCATCTTTACATCTTTTCTTTCTATATCTATTTTCTTTTCCTTTTTTTGAACTTAATTTTTCTTTTTTAGATTTTTGTTTATATCTTTGTATTTGTAAACTAAAAATATAATTTAGTTCCCTTTTTAAAAAAAATACACACTTTTTAAAAATCTTTATGAACCTCTCAGATTTGACTTTTTTCAGATTTGTCCTTTATTTTTTCCAAGAAAATATGGTCACTATACTTATGGTACACTTATAGTTATGACTACTTGACTGCCCCTGATTCTTATAAATCCCAACTGTGTGCCTTTTATTTGTTGAAAACGTCATCTTTTGCTTTTGAGAAATATTTTGTAAAAAAATAAGTAGCATTTCAAAAATGCACAAGCATGCAGACAAAAGAGTGGTTGTGCTTTGCTGAGCAGCTTCATCTATAATCACAATTTGCATCTGCTCCTCCCAGGGTCATAATTTTTATCATTTACCCGTAACTCCTATTTCTGCAAAATAATGTGATTGCTACAGTCCATTGAAATTTATGCATTTAAGTCAGTTGATATGCATATAAGTAACGAACAGAAAATGTGCTTAGAAGCACATCTGTAAATTAGATTTGATATGAGTACAGTGTAGGCTCAGCTCAACTCTACACAAACATTACCTATAGCAGGCACCAGACCTACATACTACATTCAAGAACAAAAGAGATGAGTATGTAGGTCTGTGGAACGCTCTCCATTACAGCTAGGTGAATAGAGTTACAACTATAGCAAACTTAAGAATTGGGTAATTTTTCCTCTGTCATCTCTCAATTGTCCCTTTTATTCTTACCGCACTACTCTTGGCTGCTCTGAGTATCCTCCTATTGCCCCGCAACTCTTCCACTGGTTTTTCAAGAGCCTCCAGTCGATGTGTGAGTGCCAGCTTCTGCTGGATCGCCATGCGCAACAAGGAGTTTAGAGTCTTCTTTTCATCCTCTGCAGCTTCCAGTTGCCGTTGCATTTCATCCAGCTGGCTTACATACTGATCACACCTGGGGACAGAAAATGACGGCAATAGGTTCAGGTATATGTTGAAAAACAATTCCACAAACTGCTTTGCAAGGCTTATATCCTTCAAGTGCCAGAAACAGCATGGAACCTCATTTGAAATACATCTCAGATGGTCTTATATCAAGGGAGAAAAGATGTAGCTTAAAGGCATATTTAAAAATTTCATGCTCAATAGTTTCAGAAGCCAGAGAGTTAGAACATGGTTTTCAAGATAAGGCTGCTAAAAAGTTGGCCACTCCTCATAACAGATTATGTAATGTTATGTTTTCATGTCTCAGTATCTTGGGCATTTTTAAAGTATATAACTAGGTCCTTCTTGCTGCACCATTTTAAAGGCTTAAATGGCCCTTGTTGCTTTTGGTAGTCTTTTATACTATACCAAGGATTGCACAGGCATAGCCAGAAAAACCTTGGGTAAAACATACTAGAGCCAAAAAGAAATGCACATTGATGTTAAATAAATATGTTGCAAAAATAAATAAATATTTCAATATTTAAAATGCTAATCTCACTGTAGTATTATATAAAATATTTGGAAAAGATAAAAAGATACAACTTAAGAAAAATGAATCATTTCCAAAATATTTCTGAAATTAACTTCATATAAAATTCATCACTAGTTTTGGACATATGCTACCATATTTTTGTTTCTCAACTTTTATCCTAAACCTGTATTCAGTAACTAGATTCTTTCATAGCAGTTTACCATCAAAATTCAGTGCTGAGTTTTTCCATAGTCAATAAAGAACAAAATCCAGCAAAGCTACTGGCTGTTCCGTGTAGCTCGCAGTCACCCTATCCTTGCACTAGGTTACAGAACAGTGGTAGCTATGGAAGAACTAACCCAATCCTATTTGATTCTTTACTCCAAAACAGGCTCATTTCTTGTCTCACTGAGCAGACCCTGCTTCTAACCTGCTAGCAAACATGGCACGCAGGGAAGAGAAAGTAGCAGCATCCTCCTTCAAGACCTTGAGCTCGTGACGCAACTTGATCATGGTCTCTGACACCAGCACCTTTTCACCTTCGAACTGTCCTTTGAGATTTGAGAGGGCTGCCTCTGCTGTCTGCAAAGAAAGGTTGCACACATTCACATGATACACAAATATCCTCCTCCTTCATTTGCATCATTTATAGGAAACCTAGAAGCTGAATGCTTCCCAAAATCTTCTAGATCACCCTACAAATGCCACTCCAACCATGGGGTGTATCATTGCTGAAGTTTTCCTGGGAAGTTCAGTCTGTTAACAACTCCTTGGAAGCATTCATTCTGGCTTTTGCTGGCTTTAAAGTTAGGCAGGAAAACACATGTC